TTTGGATAGAGGATTAGTTAATGAACAGAAAGCAGAGAGTTAAGATAAATTAGTCTTTTTTCCGGTTGGCAAGACATTACAAGTGTGGTGCCATAGGGTTCGGTTATCGGGTCCCAACTATTTACAAGTTATATGAATGACTTGCGCGTGGAAATAGAAAATACTATAGCCACATTTGCAGATGACAGCCAAAGAGGTGGGAAATTAAGTTGCACTGAAGAAATATAACATTTAAAAATGGATCTGGACAGATTAGGTGAATGGGCCAAAATTTGCCAAATGAAGTGGGTCCTCCCCATGGAATTTTTTAATTTATAGTAGAAATGTACTTATACTGAGCAATTTGAACTATCCATTTACATGTCAGTCACTGCTTCGCTACTGATCTGCCTCAAAGCCTAATATCACAGTACACTTTAGCTAGCTCAGCTTTAGCTCAGTCAATGCTGTAACAGATTTCACAGCAGAACTCCTTCAATATTTCAGCTGTCTCAAGGAAGGCAAGAAGAACAACTGGAAGGATGCCAGGAAGGTCAGGCTAATTCTGCATCCACCCAGCAGTGATCTTGCTCTCACTTTTATAGGCTGGGGATACATAGCCTCATTTTGCCAAAACAGTTAATATATATGTAGACCCCAATTACCACAGGGGTCAATGACAGCAGATTCACGACACAAATGGTCATATGTGAATGCATTCAGAAGCACAAGCAAACAATATGCTTTTAAGAATGTAAAATGTGGAACTAATCCCAATATATTCCAGGGCAGAGAGGTGGGTTCATAGCAAAAATGAAAGGGAATAATCAATTATTAAAGAACAAAAAAGACCGCAGATGCTGGAAATCAGAAACAAGAACAGAATTTGCTGGAAAAGCTCAGCAGGACTGGCAGCATCTGTGGACAGGAATCAGAGTTAACGTTTTGCGTCCAGTGACCTTTCCTCAGAGCTCAAATAAACCCAGCATTTTTTCCAGCAATTATTGTTTTTGTAAAAGTAACCTTATTCTTTTTGTAACTTTCCAGAGCATCAAAATCTGGATCTATCAGTTTTATATATGATACCAGTCTTTAATAATGTATTCTAATGTTCTTTTCTTTATGAATTCATCCTCATTTATTTCCTTTTCTTTATTGTATCGACTATATAGTCTTTCTTTCTCTGTCATCTGCTCCTCGCATTCTGTTATTATTTATACTAAACTACTTTTGAATGCAAGTGGTGAGGGCTGCTGCCACAGCGCATGTGGAGTCTGTATTAGAGCATCTGTTAGTGACGCTGGTTATAGTCGTTTGGGAATGACCTGTGTCAATGAGTAAGGTCATCACAGGACACCCCTGATTTTGGCTGACAGAAAATGGCAAACAGCTGGAGCCGAATAGATTCCAAGGCAGCCCAAGGATGTGGGACAAAATTGAGCTCAGTGGTTTACAAATGAAGACTAGAAATTCTTTTCAATAATGCTGCTTGGTGCATTGCTTCTTTTTATGTTAACTTTTCAATTGATAATCCAATTTATTGACTGATCAGTAAAACCAGCCTCACAGTGCTAGGATCCCAGGTTTGATTCCACCCTCGGGTGACTGTCTGTGTGGAGTTTGCACATTCTCCCCGTGTCTGCGTGGATTTCCTCTGGGTGCTCTGGTTTCCTCCCACAGTCCAGAGATGTGCAGGCTTGCTGGATTGGCCATGCTAAATTGCCCACAGTGTCCAGGAATGTTTACATTAGGTGGATTAGCCATGGGAAATGCAGGGCTACAGAATAGGGTAGGGATGTGAGTCTGGGTTGGATGCTCTTCGGAGAGTTGATGTGAACTTGTTGGGCCGAATGGCCTGTTTCCACACTGTAAGGCTTCCAAACAAAACATGTGGTGCCTAGAGCACTGAAGGCAGCAAATATACAGGAGCAACAACAATTCCAAGTTCCCCTCTAAATAACACACCATCCTGACTTGAATATAGTGTGACACCTCTGAGAACAGTGGGACTTGAATCTTGGCCTTCTGATTCAGAGGCAGGGACACTACCACTGTGCCACAGGAGTCCACCCTCTATATCATATCACCAATACATCTTTGTCACTGGGTCAAAGTCTTGGAACACCCTTTTACTAATAGCACTGTGGACCAACATGGACTACAGTGGTTCAAGGTGGCAGCTCACCACCATCTTCTCAAAGGGCAATTAGGGATGGGCAAAAAAAAGGCTGGCCCACTAAACAAGGGTAAATAAATAAAAAATGTTGTGGCCATCCCACTTCAGGCTGAGGGCAAAAAAATATTGAATAGATTAGTACCAGGATTGAGAGACTTCAGAGTAAAGAATGTTAAGATATGTGATGGAGGTGTTTGAACTCATGAAAGGCTTTGTTCGACTAAATAAGGAGAAAATGTTTCCAGTGACAAAAAGGCAGAAGTAACAGATGTAAGTAATTGGCAAAAATGGGGAAAGAATTTGTCACAGAACAAGCAGTTGTGATTGGGAATGTACTTCTTGAAAGAATGGTGAAACCAGGTTCTGTTCTAATTTTCAAAAGGCAAATGCTCGAAGGGGAAATTTTTCTGGGATATGGGGAACTTACAGTGCAGAGAGATTATTGAATAACTCAAAGAGCTAGCACAGACATGGTGGGCTGAATAATCTCCTTCATCTGTTTCATTCTGTGATTGTAGGGCAGTGAAACAAAATCAAACATAAACTGTAACTAAAATTCAGGTGTCACACTGAACCTCGGTTCACATCACTGAGTCGGTATCTCTAGTAAACCACATTGGTGTATTATCAATGTCACAGTGTTTTACTTTTTGATCTGTTCCCTCATTTGCCTTGGGCGTGTTTACCTTTCTAGTAACGGAAATTCTGTTACTGTTTTGACTCACTGTTGTCAGGTTTAAAGCGGTATTGGAGTGTGGAGGGGTGGTGGTGAGTCGGTCGGGTGGCAATGAAGCCTGAAGCAGAAAGTGAACCCGTTGACTCTGGGGAAGTGGAAGGCCAGACCAAGCTAAATGGCTGGGCCTGCTTGCTATAGATTGTCACCGATTCCCCAGCTGAATTGGTCACATCCATCAGCTGACTGGTGGGTGGGAGTAAGGAATTTGGGTGATAGAAGGCCCACCAGTTCATTCCCAAGTAGCTGTCAACTAAATGGTAGAGGAGGGTTCTGCACACGATCAGGGCAGGGGGTTGTAGAAGGGAGCTCTATTCGTGACAGAGAGGTCTGCATGAAATCTAGATGCACTCAGGGAGGGTAGATGTGATGACATTGGGTTTTAGATGTGACTGGTGGTGAAACCTTCCACAGCTGCTTGGAGACCTGGGCCTGATCTGGCACAAAGCTCCCTTCCTGGTAGGTCTGACTTGAAGGAGGAAGCTGACATTGCTCTCCTGCTTAGGCCTCTGAAGAATATTGGAGTTAGGCCTTGATGACATAATCGGGATCTACACCAAGATCTCACCAGCTTCAGAGAGGTCAACAGTGCAGGATAACTTTATGACATGACAGGCAATGGGATCGCAGACAGTAACTCACTGTCCCCTTTTTAACCATCGACCTGGTTGATTTCTGTCAGACAGAGGGAAGGGCTGGTGAGAGTTACCCCTTTAAAATCATCAGAAGCGGCTTTTTTCTTTCTAAATCTTCGTCTTAAAACTTATATTTTAACTGGTGAAGATTATTGGAAGTAGAAAATGCATAAACCCTTAAAAGACAAAGGGATTAAATTGGATAGTTTCCAAAAATGAGTGCAAGGTCTTACGATTGTAGTAAAAATTCAACCGTGTGGTATTAAATCTGAGTGCTTCATGGAATAAATTGACATTTAAAAAGGACCTAAAATGGCTCAGTGATGACTAACCATAGACTGAGGCAAACTTTGTGAAACCATTATGAGATTCCAAAACCTGTTTGCAGTGAAATTGCCATTTCATCCAAAGTCATGAAACCATGCAACTGAGTCAGCATCAAGAAATTCACATCTTGTTGAATTCACACAAATATAACAATTTCACATTTTGGGAGATACAAAACTCATCCGCCAATTAGCCAGCTTGGAAGAAAACAATGAGCAGACTCATGAATATAGAAATGGATTTATATCAATAGCTGCTCCTGTCCATCAAAGCACAAGAGAAATATATCTATAAACAAGAATTGGACAACACTCTCTCTCTCTGCCTGTCCCTTGCTCAAACCCAAAAATCAGTGACCAGTGGAAAAACAAAAACTGTTCACTGGGAACTCAAGATTTGCAAATGTTGCCCCAGCTGAAGATACAATAGCTAAACAGGCAGAGACAACACAGTGTGGAGCTGGAGGAACACAGCAGGCCAGACAGCATCGGGGGAGCAGGAAAGCTCCCTTTTTGGGTTGGGACCCATCTTCAGAAAATGATTTTCCACACTGTTTTATCTCTGACTCCAGCATCGGCAGTTCTTACTATCTCTGAGCTAAACAGGCAGGACTTGTTAGGCTAAAATCTAACTCACTCGGAACTCTAACTACCTTTACCTCGTTGTCTATATAAGACATCCTTCTCCCAACCCCTGCCTCATTTTCCAGCTTATAGCCTGCACTTTGTGTAAAATTTTTTGTGTCATTAGGTAATAAAATCCCTCTTCCTTTCAGTCAAGAAAATGGAATTAGCTCCTTGAATTTAAACAAGTTTACTAAGTTTTAATTCCAGAGGGATAGCTACATACTGAAGCTGAAATAAAAATATATATGTTGTGACCAACAGAGATGAGGTTAAAAAGAGAGGAGCTGACCATCCAATCTCACCTGGAATCATTTAATAGACTAATGCTGATGGAATGTAAACTATATGTCAGCTGTTCACTTGAATGATAGTAGTGTGGAGCCAGCATTAACCATGATATTCATTGGCTGCACATGTCAGCAGGGTCACCAGATGGTAACTTGATAGAACCAGTTAAATTTAGCTGAGTTGGTATAAAGGGGAGGTACATTGTCGCGGGAGCAGGTGCTGGCAGTCCTGTGGGGCTAGGTCAGCCTGGGAAAGACAGGTGAATGGAACAACACGGAAAAGCAAACACCAGGTCTACAGATGCTGTGCTAGAGGCCTTGGTGGAAGAGGTGGAAAATCAAGGATATGTCAGAAGGTGGTGGGAGCAGATGGGTTGTGGATGCCAATATCTAAGCGGAGTTAAGCTCCAAAGACGTGGATGGAGTGAAAAAGATCAATGATCTCGACCGAATCATCAAGGTCAGTGATACATCTTCAATATATCTGCACCCCTAACCCAGAATCACTATCCACATCACTCACTTAGCAACAATCTCTATCAGGCCTTGGGTTCCACATTGTGCTCAGCATGCTGCAAGCCTCAAACCCACATTTCACACACACTGTCAGGTTTTTAGCAGTGACAGCGCCTCAGCCTTGCAGACTGTGTGAAACCAACAATCGCATTTTCCCTTCTCCTGCAGGACTCTGTCTGGACACACAGTTGGAGACTTCAGGAGCTGACGAGGGGCACCAATGCACATGAATATCCTAGTGCATAGAGGCAATGGTCATGTCTGTGACTGGGATACTCATGGCTGAGGTTATCAGAAGGTTAAAATCATCGACAATAATATCTTCCATCACACATCCAACTTGTCACTCATTCTTCTGCTTTCTTATAACATGCACCATTTACTTTTCCTCAATTCCCACGCCACAATCTTACCCAAGTTTCTTTTTTTCTTCCAAATACCCAAGAAATGCAAAGTGGCTGGGCAGTAGAGGAGGATGAAGAAGAGATTGATGATGAAGAGCTTGATTTCACACTTGTAACCATCACCCCAGGTACTGATGTTGTATAGATCTTAGAAAATACACGTCAGGGTGGTATTTGTATGTCATGAGACATTGACATGAGTGGCCTACAGCTGGCACAGTGGTGGTCCTGGCTTGCTGGAGGTACATATGAGTTTTTCTGCAGAGGACTCAGATGAGGACTTCATTGAGTAACTTACACAAGGATGGTCAAGAGCTCTGCCCACTGAAATACATAGTGCCGATCTACCAGAAATCCTCAGTTCAAAGTCAAAGAATGCAGAAGAGGCTAACAAATTGGTACAAGGGTTTTGCAGAGATTGAGCCATCATGGTAAAGCAATGAGTGGCTACTGAGATAGTTATACTTTCTATAATCTCAGAACTGATGCTGCTGATTGTCTGAATAGAATTGTCTCCAAAACAGTTGTTCAGTTGGTCTTCAATTCGTTTTGCAAATGTCTACTGCTGAGATCTTGGAGTCTTTTTATTTAATAGACTGCCCGTACTATTAACCATGATATGCATTTTTGCCTCCAGCATCATACTTTACCTGATGTTTCTATTACCCCTTGTTACATAAGAAACTAGACCTGGATTTGTAGTTTGAAGAATCTAACAAATGTTTATTATAGCTAACAATTGTATAGGAAACAAAAACAGAAATTGCTGGAAAAGCTCAGCGGGTTTGGCTGCATCTGTGGAGAGAAATCAGAGTTAATGTTTTGGGTCCAGTGACCCTTCCTCAGAACCTCAGGTGTCATGTCATAGCTGAGTTCTGAGGAAGGGTCACTGGACCTGAAACGTTAATTCTAAATTCTCTTTACAGATGCAGCCAAACCTGTTGAGCTTTTCCAGCAATTTCTGTTTTTGTTTCTGATTTCCAGCATCTGCAGTTCTTTGGATTTTTATATTGAAAAGAAAAATTGCAATCCTCATGCACATAAGTGTCTGGACTGATATTAAACTATTAGATTGCAATTGAGGAGCCTATGCTTCCAGTAGCATGACATGCTTCAAGGGATTCCATTTAAGATGGAGTCTGAGATCATTAAACTCAGGTCACATGCAATGATGCAGTGATGGTATCAGGAGCATGGCTCTAAAAAGTATGTTGACATACTAATTGTGAGACATGACACAACATAATATTGATGGTGGAGCAGTTTTCTATGATCAAGCCACACTACAATCTTGCATGGCACATCTGATGTGGTTTTCTCTCAGTACTGGTGTTAATAATAAATAGCAGACACTGTGAAATGCATGGGACCACAGAATCTTTTATTAGCATAGAACTGTGCCCTCTTCTTTTGTATATTGATAAATTTAGCTGATGTTAATTTGAAATACTTCCTATAATATAACTAATGAATCACATGGTATGTGAGATTCATTAAGATGTGTAATGGAAATGTATTCTTCTGCAACCTTAAAAACAGTCTCAGTGATTGAAAAAAAGCAAATTGCAATTATTTGAGCCTTGTTAAACATCTGTGCTTAAAACACACGCACACAGTGGGGGATAATTTTCGACCACCAAATTTAACAGCAAACTAGTGGCCTTGAACTGTACTCATTTCTGACTGAATGTGGGGTATACAGAGGTGCTTTTGGGATGGTACGGGTGGCAAGGAAACCAACACAAGAAGCTCAGCGTGAAGCTTGGGACTGACTTATTGTTCCATCACTGTCTGCTGATCTAAACCCTCCGGTCTGGTGCTTAAGTTGGCAGGTAGAAATGGCGCCCCCACCTGCATGTAACTGGAATGTCAGCCCTCTTGAAAGTCAGCAAAGATAAAATGACAGCTTGACAATGGAGTGACCTCAGGCCGGTACATCAATGGCCTAATTGTAACCACTTCCTTCTCTCCCCTACGTCATCCTTGCTGGGCAAGGTGTGGTGGGAAGGATGTTAAGATCAATGACGGTGCATCAGTCTGGCTTTGGACTCGGGTAAGCACAAGTCCGATTAAAGTTTGATATTTATTATCATCAGTGGTGGCATTATGTTGAAGACTATTTCATTGAAGTTTAATATAGGGTCAATTGGACAAAGAGGGAGGTAGAAAAATATGAGGGAAGGAACCAAAAGTAAGCAAGAGAAAATTAGGACTCAAATATTCAGGCAATCCTGAAAGGAAGATGCAATCCTGGTAGAGCAGGCTGGCAGAAAATAGTTTGCTTGATCTGGCTGGTTTAGGAACAGGCAATAGATGTCAGTGCAGAAAGGCCTGTATTCTTTAAATGTGAGATTTGGAGGAACATTCCTGATCTATGTTCAGGTCTAAGTACATTTTAAAAAGCTATCTTCTTGGTTTTAGCTAAGTAGTATCACTTGCCTTAGCCAGAACAATCTAGCCTGGCGACCTCATGTGGACAAAGGCCCTTATTTGAAAAGATAAAAAGTCTAAAGCCTGCTCCAACTGTAAGCACTAATACAGGCATTGGCTGGCTCATATTGAGCATGTACCATATTGGAGGGCATGGTTGGGAAATGCCTCAAATGTAGAGAAGTACACCATCAATTTTTGATGACCACTTTATAAAGATGCTTTTGAAGGAAGGAACGTGTGGCAAACAAAGTTTTCCAATATCAGGGACACAGAACACAGAACACAGAACACAGAACACAGAACACAGAACACA